GAGACTGGGTGAGGACACCGATCGACTCTGATCGATACGTCCAGCCCTGAACCCAGCTTCCTTTAGGGAAATGTGATTCATAGTGAAAACGTACTAACCGTGAAATTAACAACGCTCCTTTTGTTGAAATGGAATGATAACCATTTACCGTATGACAATCCAAGCTGAACTTCGAAATTCGTACATTCAATTAATAATTATGACGTACCTAATACGGTAATAATTAACCACTTTATTTTAAATGATAAACAAATAAAAGCATTACGAAAAACAATGCTACCACATGCTTACCATAAAAATGCAAACATTGTGTCGTAGGGAGAAAAAGGTTTAGACCTACTTTTCATACTAAAATGCATTGAATATATGATTTTAAAATTATATATATATATGTATATATACACCTGTCTCTTATACACATCTAGATGTGTATAAGAGACAGAGACTAATGTTCTCCAAATGCGCATGAGAGGTTGGTTAAAGGCGTCTGCATAGACAGTAGAAAGTCCCAGGTTCGAATCCCGGTTGGGGAACCTAATTTTTTCACACTCGCAGATTGCTTTTACGTTATAATTGTTCAAAATGTATTTATATATTTATAGCATTACTGCAATTATACGGTTTAGAGTTAATCTTTATTATATCATGATAGATATATGAATATGTATTATCCATACACTGTATCTTTAAATAAGTATATATAAAATATGCATATAAAAGTGTTACACTTGAAGAGATAAAATCTAAATAGTCTTGCAGTAATGATTGTAAACGGTAAAGAAGAGGAATCTGTGAGTGTGAAAAAAATTTCCTCAACCGGGACTTAATTCGTGATCTCCCGTTGTTTATGCAGACACACACTCTAACGATATGCCGGTACAACACTATCGCACACGCGTCGTGAAACAGGGGTCCCTGGGATACACCCTCTTCTTAATAATGCCATCATAGACCTGCCTATATTTTATTTGCAAAATTTAGCTTTTACAGTGGCCTCTTTTGTAAAATGTTTAACTGAAGTTTGATACTTTGTATTCATATTAACTGTTGCTATCTGTTCTGTTTAGTTATATTAATGTTTATGCAAGGCCCCCTTGTATCTACATTTCGCAGTTATTTAAATGCTTTAAAAACCTAATATATTATTTTACAAAATGCAAATTAAATGCCGAGATTCTCATCACTGTTTGGCCATGTACCATTCTTTCTTCTATCTATATTGGTTCGATCATTCTTGAGTTACGGGTGGGGAGGGAGATGATTCCGATGCTTCGTTTTTTAATCCCCTCTGTCAATCTGCCCCTCTGACTATCTGCCCCTCTGTTTCTCTGGTTTTTTTTTTCTTATTTTGTCAGTGTCACTTCTAGTTAATGTTAAACTTACCTTTGGTATGAAAGGAACACTGCAATATACCTTGTGTACATAACCACAGCTCTGCAATATCAATATGCTTTTATATAGGCAGCCTATTTATAATAATCACAATTGATTCTAAGTAATTATTAGGTTTTCATGCTAAACGGTAAATCAGACAAGGTCTTATTAAGGAAAAAAATCAAGACATGACGTAATGCGAACTGAATCTCAATTTAACTTCCGACAATGGATTCCGTTCATCAACACCCTCAGAAATTGCAATCGTGTTTCCTCATTCGGGCATTAAACCAGCAACTTGCTATAAGAAAATAACATCGAATCTACTATACAATCCATGTTAAAAACTAGTTATGTCCAGTTTGGACCCACCAAATTGGTTTTTATTTACAGCTTCTAACTACTACAATGACAATAGAAATTTAGGAAAAACCACAGGCTTTAGGTTACACCCATCTGCGGTCACGAGACATCCACAACGCAACACGCTATCTCGGCATGACCACAGTGTTATAAAAAGCTCAGCATGTTACGACTTTGTTTTGTTGCCGTGACCTGCTACGCTATAATCTTCCACTAATTTGAGACCACTTTATTACCAACAATCTTCTATTTTTTAACAATACTAATTGGAGACCGAACCTAGACTATCCCACATTTTTAGGTCCCACATGTGATCTCGATTTAGAGGGTGAACTGTATTCATAATTTATTCATATTATTCAAATTTTCATTCATATTATTCTTATTGTTTTCATATTTTTATTCATAATATTATTCATATTATTCAAATTTCTTACGAAGGAATACAGTTGTTTTATAATTTCATAATTTATTTCTCTCAAAACTCAAAAGTAAAGAGTCTGGTAGGCAAAGAGGGAACATGTCCTTGTACAATACCAGAGAAACAATGATAATAGCAATAACATCAACAACAACAACAATAATAATAATAATAATAATTATAGATAATAATAATAATAACAATAGTAATAATAGGCCTAATAGTAATAATAATAATAATAATATTAATAAGTAAAATAATAAAAATAATAAAACTAGTAATGATAATCAGAATCAATAAGAACAACAAAAAATATAATTCAAATAATTTAAAAAAATTAATAATTCAAAAATAAGTAAACAGATGAAGTGTGTATGTTTCATTATATAGTATGTCTGCTAATATTAATTTTAATTTTATAATCGCCTCTTTGTCGATCTTTGTATTATAATTTAAATGCTAAAAATTCGTTAAAATCATAAATTTTCCTATCACATGTTGTGATAATACATCAATAAAAAATAGCTTCTGAAACTTGATTTGGCAATATAGAACTAGTATTAAACGTTAGAATACTATGGCGACCAGATGAACTTCTCTGTTTTTGAAATGTGTGTTCTGTAACGTACAGTGTTGCTATTAATTTTTATGATACATGCACGGAAACTTGGAAGGTCGCATTGGTCCCTTAAGATAAGTTTGGCAAAGGAAAAATTAATTAGAAGCACTGTAATGGCATTACTGAAGGCTATTAAGAAGGAGAATGATAATGGTTATTATTACCGTGTAGGCCTTATGCATTGGAGGTAGGCCTACAGTCTGGTGTCGAGTCGCGGAGAATATTCCATAACGGATAAGTCGTTTCGTCGTTGTCTCGGACTAAATATAGGCTTATTAATTTCCATATTTTACTTTCTTTAAACCACATATTAAATTATCCTCTTCAACCTTTACGGATTTCACCGCGGTACCCGTATCAAGGCCTTAGGCGTCTCCTTGGTGTGACAACGTCCGACAAACTCTAGGTTGTGACCCACCAGGGGTCACCACAATATTTTGGTGGGTCACGAAACCTTAACAGAAATCACCAAAATCAGCTACCGGTAGCTTATTTTATCTCTTATGATAATTTGAAACATTTATTTTATAAAATAACAATGAGGCCATAAATCCGTATACTTTACCGGACTACTGTATACGTTATTCATTTGCCATGATAAGGCCCAATAAAAAAATTATTAGTTTATCACCCTCGCGCGCATGCCTTTTATGGTACTGAAAAAAAAAATTTTGAAAAAACATTTTTTTTTTTAATTGTTTTTTTTTTAAATTGTTTTTTTTTTAAATTTTATTTATTTATTTTTTTATTTTGTTTTATTAAATAGTAGTAGATATTGTTTGCATTATCTAAATCATGTTTTACTTTGAATATCAATGCACCAGCAAACAAACCAAGGGTTTATATTTGGCTTTAGCAAAATAAAAAATAAAGAAAAAAAAAACCTCCCTCCCTCATCACTTTTCCTGCCCAGATAGGGTGATAAACTAATAATATTTTTTATAGGGCCTAATGATACAGTGAGTACACGCGGACACAAACATCATGGTACATTATGATTTCTGTTTATATATTATGTATATTTCTCTTCATACACTGTTTATTTATTTACGGTATTGAAAATCCCAGTCCCAATATGGTGCTCTTGGATAGCCCTCTTTGGCAATGCCGTAACCAAGATTTTCAAACAGTGCGGGACAATATCAGGGTGGACCCACTTTACGCGTAAATTCAAATAATGTGAACCCATTTCTTAAAAGTTTAACCATTTTACGCAAAAATATAAAATATCTGGACATATTTTCTTAAAATTTTACCCATTTTTGGCTAAATATGAGAAATCTGGACCCTTATGTATTAAATTGCATAATTTAGACCCATTTTTCAAAATGTGGACCCCATTCTTTGTGGACCCATAAAAAAAAATTGTGTGGGACTGTCCCAATGTCTACGGCATTACCTCTGGGCATGTGTGGATAAGGATTCGATGGGTCGCTGTTCATTCCTGAATTTCCAAACTGGGTTGTCAATCGAAAAGTTTGCTGTCAGTAAATTGCAGCTAATGTATTGGATAAAAGATACATGATCCTGATATAAAACAGTCCTGTGTTATTGAAGCCTATTATTTCTATTCCATCATTGTCTAGCCCTATATTTAAGCCAAATTAATGAATTATATAATCTCAGGAAAAGCTATATTAAGTACAGTAACGTCAACAAACGGTTTGGCATTGAATCGATATCGATGGATCACCGTATCAGAGATACCTACCTAACTCAATAATTAATTAATTAATTAATTCCATCATCTATTCATTCATTCATCCACAGTTCATTCATGCTCATTCCCATTCGTCATTGAACAAAATATAATGGCACTTGCTATGCTGGAAAAATAAACTAGATAACATTAATACATTGATATTTTAAAGGCTATATGACTTTAAAAACTAATTAGGCCTACAACAGAAAACTGATAATGATAAAGACAATTAAAAACAATCGGAAGATCACTAATTAGTTTTAAATACAGTAAACACTCCGAGAAGAGAGACATTTTGAAAGATCCAACGTTTCGATCTATTTCATCATTTTTGAGAACCAGTCAACAGCTGGTCAACAGAATGAAACACTGCCCTCAGTCGGATTGAACTGTCCTTACACCGCTGCGTTGAGTACTTTGCTTAGTTGTCTGGACAACAAACAACGCTATGGCGGCAGCCAATCAATGAGCTTATAGGGTAAATGCTAAATATAGACTGTGTTGTCTATATCATGCACCAATGGTCATAAAAATAAACACCGGTACTCTAGTCGCTGGTTATTGCGATTCGTAAACTGGAATTCAGGAAATCTTCAAATAGCCCTACTTCACATCCAATACGATAACAATCTTGTCTGTCACGGAGATAAACGTGGTTATTGTGTAAAGGGTGTTTGTATTAGATATTCTGCGGTTTTAGCATGATTTTTGTTTTTTTGTTATAACGGTACAAGTTTAACTGATGGTCGTTCATCATAAAAACCGGTTTAGTCTGGCTCTCAGTTGCGTCACGTCAAGTCGCGGTCGGCTTGTGATTTTTTGAATGAATTCATACGCGTCTCCAAATTGAAAGAAGAAAGGAACTCCTAGGTGTTAGTTATAGCATTTTATAGTGTACTAGAAAGAACATTCATTCATGTTTGTACCATGGTGACAACTTATAAATCTAATCTAACGAAAGAGAGTATGGAGAAGGCAATGATGGCGAACAGCGTTTGCGACTACGAGCGAGTGTGCAGCTTCGAGGATAACGAAACAATGAAGAAAATGATCAAGCCAAACGCCATCGTCCAGAAAATAACAATTATACATAGAATTTCAGAGAAGTCTAAATTGCTTCTTTCAAAATACTGGAACTGTCTGTGTGTATTGGCAGCTGCGATGCTTTTTGTTCCAATCGCTGGTCTGGTTATGAACTATAATCTCATATCACTTTGTTTCAAAGATGAATTCCAAAGCGATTCTATTGTAACAGGTAAGAAAATTCCTTTCCTCTTCGATTCATTCGATTCTATTGTTTTGTTATGGCATGATTCTCATTATGAGGATGTTAGCTATAATTTGAATAGATGCATGTTCGTCAAAAAATTTTTTTAATTAGACCTTGCAACAAAGAATACAATAGTCACGTAGATATATTACATTATATAGTAGACGAATAATCTCATTGAATGTTACCACCGTACAATTTCAGGCCTACTATTCTTTAACTTCAGTAGCTTATAATACCGATACAATTATGTGTTGAGCAAATACCCGAAAAGTAAAAAAATCAATATCTGAATTGCGTACAGTATTTTTAATTAATATATTAAATTAATAATTGGATGATTTTACATTTCTTCACATATTCAGTCACATCAATACCATTACAGTTCTTATTATATTTTATATACCTTTATTGGTACTGAATCAGTTTGTGTTATGCGTATTAAAATGTCTGTATAAAAACTAAATTGTGTCAATGTGTTTCATTTGTAGTTGATAAACTTGTCGGTGTTTGTATTGAATATTTGAGGTTTTCCGAATTTTGCTGCATAAATAAGGGAAGGAATTATAGTATCCAAATGGTTGGTTAATTTTTATTACCAGTGGGCCTGTTGTGACGTTCGTAATCTGAATGCTTTGAAAAAAACACAACATTTTTTTAAAATTAATTCCTGTTCGTATTGGACATAATTTAGACGTTTATGATAATGATGGTGATATTCGTGTCTTCTCCCCAGAATCTCATCATATTGTAGTGCATTTGTGGTAATACATGTGGTAATATATATATATATATACTATATATA